GTTCAATTACCTGGCTCTTATAAGCAAAGGTGGGTTATTTAGGACGGACCTTGATGAATAAATTCTAAGCAGATGTTCTCTCCATGCAAAACTGTTATATTCCCATTGTTCAATATGTGCCCTGTGAGCAAGCATGAGAGACCTGTCCTTCAGCAGCTCATACATAGTCAAAACAGTTGTTTGTGTTGTCTGGGCAAGAAAGACGTCACCAGTAAGTGAAAGCTTTAAATATAGACATTTATTTGTGTTTTGTAAAATATAAAATAATGTACTGGAGTTTAATGTAATTGAAATACATTTCACAGAAGCGTCTTGTTTCATTTAATTAAGCCAAGGTTATCTACTTAGGGCGAGGGCTTTTATTTCACTGAATCCCAGAGTACGGCATGTTAGTTGTTCTTAATTGTAGTCAGTGGACATAATTTGCATTACACTGGCCTGGACTTTGAGTGGAATCAATGATTATCTGATTGCTTTGGTGTAACAAAAGAATTTGTACATACAAGACTGATGTATTACTATCTTTAAAAGAGGCACATGATAGCAAGAAGTTGCATATTTACACATGCAGCAGGCAGAGACTAACAGTAGCATTCACTCAACCCTCTGTCTCTTTTTTCTATGTTTCAGTCTGGGGGACTATATCTTGCTCTCAAGCAGCTACATGTAGTTCTGTATTCACCTGCTAGCTTTCAATTTTGTTAATGTGAAACATGGAGATGTACCAATGTCACCTTGGGACAAAATCACCATTATTACTATTATTATTATTCATAGTAATAATAATAATAATAATGGATTGCATTTATACAGCGCTTTTCGGAGCCCTCAAAGCGCTTTATAATTCTACTATTCATTCACTCTCACATTCACACACTGGTGGAGGCAAGCTACAGTTGTAGTAGTGGTAGTACTGCATGAAAATCTAGAATGTACCAACATGAACATAACACTTTATAACAACGATCAAATTTTTAGCTAATTTAATTTATTATGAAATCATCCTATTGTCAACATATGATTAAATGTTTATATTTACGAATCACTTTTTCCACAATTTAAGTGATAAATAAATGATTTTTTGAAATGCTAATAAAAGGCATTCGCAATTATAATCGGACAGAATGGATACATGTAACTTGCACTTGATGTGGCGGTTGTGAGACTAACTCATTTTTAATATAAATTATTACTTTTAGAACCCGAGTCTTACCAAGCAATGTATAACATGTAAATAAGAGTGAAACTAAAAGAGGAGTAAATCTGAACACAAGCTAGTCTCAGTGTTTACGGTTAATGAATTATACCATTGCCAATTGGGCTCTCTATATGTTCTTTAAAACCAGTACTATATAACTGTCCATTTTAACTTTATAGTAAAAATATTTATAGCTCAAATATAAGTCTAGAGTATGGCATATAAGTATAAACATCAACTTTACAAGAACCGTCCATGTGAAACAGGCGTAGTTTATAAGCCAATCATAAACCAGTCAATAACACATAACACCTGGTGTCATCATGCCATACTATGAAAATAATATAGAAAAACAGCCACAGTGACCTGTGTTAATGTCTGAAATCCACTCTGCCTCCTCAGAAGTGTCTGAGGTAATATGCTTATTGTAGATTTACAAAGTGGAGCTGGAGATACAGCTGCATCTGGGTCACTCTTAAATATAACCACTCCATCTCATCTCATTGTCAGCCAGGCTTGGAAAATCACTCTGTTGCTCTTTATCTGAACCTTTGATCTCTACACACTGAACTTTCTCAGCAACCTTAAAGCGTAAACATTATCAGTCCGGTATAGACCGGATTTGTAAACCTGCTTGGCAATCTTTTTCACTTATACCTGCAGAGTGTGTTGACCAAGTTTATATGTATAAAATTATATTTCAAAAATGATGTTGCATAAGATTTTACAAGTAAACTTAAGACAAAGACTGTGGGCCATGAGGAAAAGCCAAGCAATATGTACAATGGTGGGAAAGGCAAAAAGCAGTTTTCCATCACGGTGATAGTGATAGGTTGGCAGATACAGGGATGAATACTGCTCAGAGTGCGTATGTGACAGGTTTGCGGTGGGAACGTCATACTCGCAGCATCTCCAGTGAGGTCATTACAGATGCAAATCCCAGTCGCAGCGGTGTTTTATGACATCTGTTCTTGTTCTCCGGGTTGGCCCCGGCAAGCGTCCCGTCGAGGACTTGCAAATCAAGACAGAAAACGAGAGATGGGCGGACAGGTAGGCCCGCTCAGCTGTCAGCGCTGTCCCCCGTTTCCCTTCTTTTCCTCTCCACTTCTTTCCTACTGATCACAGCTCTGCCATTTGTGCTGCCATCAGTCATTTTCATTGCCCCATCCCTCTCCATGTCTTTCTCTCTCCGTGTTAGATGAGGACATTACACCCCAACCTCTGCCTGATACTTCAGCATCTGCCTCTTTCTGCCAATGGTTTTCTCCAAGGAGTTTGATGTTTCAGAGTGAACTGGGTCAAAGAGCTTCCTATTCCCTATACAGATGCCTGCTTCATGCAAGGGAAAGAGACCGCGGTAGTTATGAGGTGACAAGCCTGTAAGAACACACCTACAGCATAGTTACCTGCCTAAATCATAAAACGAGGTTGAGTCAGTAAAGGCAGAGTGGCATTTAACTAACTCACAGCCATCTAAGAAATAAATTTGTACTTTCACGCTCAGTGCAAACATTCAGTAAAGTTTTGTCAGCCAGAAAGTAAGTTAGGTTTGAAGGTCAGGAGAATGGATGATGGGGATAATATAGTGAATAATTAAACGTGTAGGAGGCCACTCACAAACAAAGGCATGCTGATTAGACACAGGAACGTTGCGGAAGCAGCGTGGATTTGCCATTTAAATAACAAATATACAAACACTGGGCTGCCCAATTAGTTGTTCAGGATGAAACATAAAGGAGGATAACTCAAACAACTCATGTACACATTCTTACTTAGGAGTGTTTCCATGGTGAAAGTAAAAAACTGCCCAACTTTCAACCAGAACACTGGTTTAAGTTTCATCTAGGACTGGCTTTCATTCCTTTTGAGTGAATATTAGGCAGCAAATCTACTTGTAAGCCGGTGAAATCAACTGGTAAAGTCCCAGTCATGCAGGCCTAAAGACTGGTCAGTCACCCTCCCAGTAACCACCAGTCATAAGAATGTGTATTACTTGAGCAGTTGGCATGTAGCACCACAGTGCACGAGGTCCGGAGCTCTGCAGTGAAAACCTCTTTGTGATTGTTTTGTTTGTTAGCAGGTTGCCTGTAGTTTGAGTGACACACCAATTATACAGTCCAGATCAAAAGCTTAAGACCACTTGAAAAATGGCAAAAAATCAGATTTTGCATGGTTGGATCTTAAAAAGGGTCCAAGTAGAGCTTCAACATGCAACAAGAAGAAATGGGAGTGAGACAAAACATTTGTTTTGAGCATGCAATTTATTGAAAACTCTTAAACTGAAACAGGCTGATTTACAGCTGATCAAAACTTTAAGACGTGTCTTTAAAAGGTCACATCTGTGCAAAAATGTGGATTCATTGTCATTTTCTGTCAGGTAGTCACACTGTCATGACGTTGTGATGGTAAAGGCAAAAAACTTTCCCCTTTTGAACATGGTCGGGTTGTTGAACTGCATAAGCAGGGTCTCTCGCAGCACACCATCGCTGCTCAGGTGGGAGGCACTAAGACAGTCATTTGGAATTTCTTAAATGATCCTGATGGTTATGGAACAAAAAAGTCAAGTAGAAGACCCCAAAATATTTCACCAGCACTGAGCTCTAGGGTCCAATTGGCTGTCCGTCAAGATACTGGGCGATCCTTGACCCAAATTAAGGCCGTTACTGGTGCCAACTGCAGCCCCTTTACAATCAGACGGGATCTGACATTGATGGGCTTCAAAACCATTTTACTTCTTTTATAACATTTAGGTCCAATCAAGAGAGTGTCTCCTGAATTAAATCCTTAATCAACAAATCAGCAAAATCAGCTCTCCTATAAGAACAACTCACAGTTGATACCAATAAAATAACAAAGTGGATTCAAAGTATTACAAAATACTGCAAAAAAAGGAAAAGTGTTTGATATTCTGTCACTAGCAGTGATTGCTGTTTTTGTTGCTTTTTTTGGTTGAATATTATGTTGCTATAGCAACAACTAGTCACACAGATCTACAGTAATTATACTCACACATTGTGAAATTTGCCATTTTGTCAGACAGCAAATGCACTTAAAGCATTACCTTCTGGGTTTCTTTTTATTTTAACCATTCCTAAACAACTAGGAATGATATTTACTGCTGTCATTAGTGTCCCTCCTTTGCCTAAGGCCTTAATGCTGATCCCTTTCTATTATACTGGCTCATTTGTACAATTTTCTATATCCAATTGTGGCTCACAGACTCTCAGACCTCCTGTTTCCTATTTCTGAATTTGGCCAGTGTTCTTCTGACAGTTTCACAATTGCTTCCATGAGAAAATACATAAAGCAAATTTTACTGGGTCACTGAAAAGCGTAACACCCACTGCTACAAATAGTGAGGACATGTTCATCTCACTAAATAGCATTAATGATTATCTTAGCCATTTTTTAGTATGAGCAAAGAAAATGTTTGCGCTTTATTGTTAAATCAACAGATTTCTCACATCGGTTGCATGGCAGTCTCGAAGGGCCAAAATCTTAGCCAAACAGGTATGCAGCAGCAGGGAGGAGTTAGGAACTAATGATTTGCTTGAGGTCTATCTTTCTTTCTCAGTTTAAATGATTCACATTTCTAAATGTCTATAAACGCTAGCTTGAGAAACACATCTGTGGAAAGCAACAAAATGTGGGCTTTTGGTGCCAAAGTCCTGTGGCTTCGCTTCTGTTTAAGTTAAAAACTGACGAGTGAAAAGTGACATTTCTGTCAACCCTGGGAACGCCTGTAGCGCAGCTCAACATGCACAGACTTGTACCTGTAAAGTAAGTCAGAGGAAGAAAGAGAAGCCCGACAAGGAGGATACTTATCTGCACAACGGCAGAAAAATACTTTTCGGCAACAGAAAACACATGTTGTAAGTATGAGCTTCAAATTGGCTTCACGCTTCAAGACAAAGAGGTTGTCTGTCAGTGAGCTTTTTGGTACTGTTGAATATTCTCATTGTTTTACTTCCCCTCCGGTCTGCTTTGTTCTTCGGTAATGACTGACTTTCTCTGATCTCGCCCATACAGAAAACATGTTGCTAAAATAAAACTGGAATGTGTTTTGCGGATGGTTTTCTCTTGTCTGCGAGTTGGAGAACAAGTATTTCTGATGGGGCTCCTGTGATCTGTGCCGTTTTTATTGGAACTTTCTTCCTTTGTGTTTCTCAGTATGCCTGCAGCTCTCTTTCCCTTCACTCTTTCCCTCCCAAAGAAAACATGAAAAAGGGCCAAAGATGAGCAAGAATACTTTGAGCTGAATGTGCTCTCTGTTCTATATGATGCACTCCAAAAACTGAGTGCCTGCATTAGGATAGCCTTTCTTCTGATGCCTTGTCCTGTACTTCTGAAGAACTGCTTGATAATGGTCATGACCTTAGACTGAGTTTTGTTATGAATAATTTTAGGAATTGAATGATTTAGAGCAACAGTGCTTGGACAAGTGAGCTTTTTACACAATTATTTAACAGAAATATGTGCCAAAGCTGTCAGTTTGCGCCTTCCTATTAATCTCTTATATGGCATTTTCTTCCTTCAGCATCTTGTCAACACCATAAAAAAGCAAAAGGGTTTGAAAAAGTAAAGACAGCTTCTCATATTGGATGTGCTATATGCATCTGCAAGCTACTTTGAGACCCACCTCCACCCTCATCTCTCGTCTCTTCTTCTTCTGGATGTTTAGCATCAATATCAACACAAGCAGGTCTGTCTTTGCCTCCTCCAGCTAACACACAGCTTTACACTGCACGGCTCCAGACACACAGGGACACAGTGCCTCCCCTCACTAACAGCTGAAGTAGTTAACATTCATAACACTATACTACATTATAATAAAGACTAGCAATGATAGTTAGATAAAAGAAGAATAACTACAGGTCAGAGATGGGATATTAAGCCATGACAGAGCAGATTATGGACATGTAGAGAATCCGTCAGGTTGCTGTCTGTGCACGGCAGCCGGGGAACTGAGCAGAGGGTTCAGAGTTTGGAGAACTAATCTGAGTAAATAAATAGTAACATCTAGAGCACAGCAGTGCAATCAGACAGACCTCAGGCCTGAAAAGCAGAGCTAAGGATGCAAAGAAATGCAGACTGTGAGTGAGTGATCTGTGGGGGTTTTTGTGTGTGTGTGTCTCTTTTGCATTTTCCATACTGCTCTTCCACAATAATTAAATCATTGAGATTCCAGGTATTGTGTTGTTTCTTGTATCCTTTGTTTATTAGTAGGTTTTAAAATGTGTTATCTTCACGATTCGTGATGATCAAAATAATTTCTAAAACAAATGCACCTTTTATATTGAGTCCTAAATACTTACTTTGTAAAAAAGTTACTTTTCATAAGGGAAATTAGTTGTTAATTAACAAGTAAACTTTGTCAGCATTTGACTTTATCGTTATTTCTTCTGTTGTTGAACGATGGGGTCAAAATCTTTCCCATCATATCAAAAAATGGTTTCCAGGATTTTCCCCTTATCGAGTCAACCTTAATGCACATTAAAGGACAAGGCGGCGTGGTCTTCCCTTACATTTTTCACTTATTTGAATGGAACAGAATTAACCTAATTTAATTTAAAAGAAGAAAAGGTTCTCTAGTTCATATGCTTACCTTCATCAGGGCATTAATTTGCAGCTAAATGTTTCATAGAATTGAGCAAAAGCAGTTAACTAGAATCTGATAGAAAAATATGGGGGAAATCTGCTAGTTTGCAAGCAACACAAGTCTCCAGCATCTGTCTGTTATGCTCAGTCATTTGGGCAGCTGTCACAGCAGAAAAGTGTGTGACACTAACTCTGCAATGTTGGCTTGCCGCAGCAGGCTGGACTGTGCTGCCTGGAGCAGTCTTGCACCAGGTACTAATGCTTGGCTTACAGTGTCAGGCTGATGCTGCTGACTTAATGACATCCTAGAGACAGAAAAAAATCCACTGACATGAGGAAGTGTTCTTGATTTCTATATTTCTCCACACTGACAGCTCTCTATAGCCTAGCATATGGGAAAATTATTCTCAAGCACTGTTAAAGAAATTATGATGCCCATAACTGAGGCTCTAAAAACTGTCCCCAAAAAAGCTCACAGCTCTGGTTGCCAGGCACCCTCTGAATCTCGGACACAGGACATTCATCTATGATGTGCACATTTCTGAGTGTGTATCTTATAAAGAAGCAGGGCAGAGCAGTGTTTAAAGCGTACCCTCTCTGGAGCGCTGTCTTCCAGTGGCTTCAGACACACCAGCAGCTTCTTCTCTGCTGCACCTGCTCCTCTCAGCGCTTTCCTTTGTTATTTTCTCAGTTCATTTTCAGTTTTTATTTTTATACTCCAGTCTCAAATATTAGTCCTACAGAAATAGAAGGCCTAACTGTAATTGGCCACCTGGTGACTTGAAATTGTTAAATGAGATCTATTTAGCTTTATACATACAAAAGTTCCAACCTGAACTGTTAAGCATCAGCCAATTTAGCACAAGCTAAAGCAAAAAGCCACAATTCCAAAAAGGTGGGGTACTGTGTAAAATGTAAATAACAGAATGAAATGAGTTTTAAATCTCATAAATCTTGATTTTACTCAGAGAACAGGAGAATATATAAAACATATCAGATGTTTTAGGTTGGACATGTTACTTGTTGATAACAAACAACAGCTCACTTTAAATTTGGTGGCGATTTCACTGTGTTGCATGCTGATTTCTGAGAGAGGAATGTTGTCCTGCTCTGGTCTGATGTAGGATTCCAGCTCCTCAACAGTCCTGGGTCTTCATTGTCATATTTTCCGTTCCATGATGTGCCCAGTCAGGTCTGACTAAACAGGTCTGGACTGCAGCCAGCTCAGTACCTGGACACTTTTACAACAAAGCCATGCCCTCTTAATAACTCCAGTATGGGGTTTAGCACTGTCTTGCCAAAATTCTGTATGCAACAGCTTCCATTAAAAGGATATCAAATCTGGATGGGAGCATATGTGGCTCTAATATCATCTTTACTTCTGAGAAACTCAGTAACAACAGTATCAAAAACATTCAAGCAGGCTCATCTTCAAGTATTTATTGGAACATTTCTTTAACACAGGTAGAATAAAGTCTTCTTTTACGCTTAAAAGCTTGGACGCTTTAGTCCTTGCTCTACCACTTTGTACTGTCAAACTAGTTTAAGAGCATAAAAAGTGAAACCTTTGCTATCATCAGTGCGTCATATTCCTCCCGTCAGATCTTGGCCATTTTTCCTGTTTGTTCCTATTAGTGCTCCCTTAGATCACTTACTTTAAATAGTTCTAAGCCTTATATAATTCAGCAAGTAATTGAAAGCCCACCCCGGGTTATGAATATGTATGTTGTAGTTAGAAGAGCCTGTGGGAATATACAGGAGGTTGCATTAAAAAAATAGTACCTAACAGAATCCTGAGGAGCTGTCACAGACATAAATAGCACACGTTTCCCTACGAGCAGAAGCTACTGTACCTGCCTGCTTGCAATCAATATTTATATCTGTCATTGACATTATCTGTAAAGCAGCTCTTATGTCATCCGAATGTCAGATAGCGTGACTAGGTCTTGCCAAGTATTTGATCCTGTGAGTCTGTCGCTGATTTTTTTTATTTATTTGCTCTACTTTTGAGCGTGTTCACTTGCTTTAATTCCTTGAATAACATTTACCGCTCTGACTTATTCTCATCTGGTTCCCTGCTGCTGCAACGACCCAGTTTGCCCACAAGAATCATTAAAGTTTCATCTAATTTAGAATCTCTGAACAAGTGTATTAATGGCAAGAGGATGCTGCTGGTTTGCCATAAAAAACAGATTTCTGACATAAATCTAACTCACTGTAGATGAGTTACAATTAAACTTACAGGCTTTTCAGTCCATGCTAGTACCCCCAGTCCCCACAGCTGTCTAACTGCCATCTGCATAATGTTAGCAGCTCATGTGTAAGATATTTAGTTACTCTTGTTTCCAAACTGCAGTATTGATAATTTTCCTGCATTTGTATCATTTTATATTGATATTTTAAAAGACTATTATGATATTATCTGCTTTTCATCATCAAATTTGGATCTAGGAGAGCCTAAAAACTGTTTTGTAGGGAGTAACCTAATGGCTAAACAAGTATTCTCATAAAAGTAATGCTTCTGCATGAACCCGGTCCTTTTGTTCCTAGTTCTGCTTCCTCCCTTTGTGTACTATCACACTTTTTCCTCACCAGTGAACTATCCAATGTGTCAATATACCCTGCTCTGAAAATTTAAAGCAGCACTTTTTAATGAGTATTGTATCAAGTCAGTTAAACTTCTGGGATATTGATCTGGTTGATTGATCGAGATTATTGTTAATCAGTTTCAGCTGCTTTGGTGTTCATGAAATTAATAACGGGTGCACTAAGGGCACAGCAATGAGACAACCTCCCAAAAAAGAATGGTCACTGACACTGTCCCCCTCCTCATCTTTTTTGACTGTTTTGGGGTAGTTTTGTATTTGGCTGGTCAATACTGGCAGCATCAAGCAATATCTGGAGTAATCCAACATCTCCAGCATAGCACACCAATATGTTCCATTGCTAGAAGATTTGCTGTGTCTCTCAGCACAGTCTCAAGAGCATGGAGGAGATTCCAAGAGACAAGCAGTTCATCTAGGAGAGCTGGACAGGGCCATAGAAAGTCCTTAATCCATCAGCAGGACCAATATCTGCTCCTTTGTGCAAGGACGAACAGGATGAGCACTGCCACAGCTACAACATAACCTCCAGCAAATCACTGGTGTGTTGTCCCTGACCAACCAATCAGCAACAGACTTTATGAGGGTGGCCTGATCGCCCATTGTCCTCTAGTGGGCAGTGTGCTTACGACTCTTACGACTCTTAAATTTTGCAATTTTAGTTACAGCAATGTGGGGGGTTCCTTTGGAGTTTTTGCATTTTTGGACTTTTGACTCTTTCCTGCTCTTTCTGTCAACTGACCTAAACACTCAATTAAAACTGAGGTACAGACTTTTATCCTGCCTCTGAGTGAACTGTTCTGTTCACCCTCCTTTAAGAAGTGCTGGGGTTGCTAGTCAGAAAAAGGCAACTGAACTTCTATAGATATTTTTTGAAGACATTTTACATCTTATCCAGGAATCTTCTGAAGGAGAAGCATTACTCAATATTATTTTTTTAATACATCATGTTGTATTATTTCTCAATGGAGTTATTTGTTACCCTACTGGTTACATTACATTTGCCTCACTGTGTAACATGAGTTGAAATGCATTGTCAGTTAGAAATATAAACCTTGGGCTATAATCCCACACATTGATCTTGTGTGTTCTGATTAGCATAGAGATTTTTGTCAGTCTTTTAATGTTTAAGTTTGAAACAAAACCAGAAACACAATCAAAGGTGAAAACAAGCCCATAGAGACTTTCATTGTAGAAACATGGTCAATGGAGGCTACAAGCAAGCTCAGGCTCTGGATGCAGTGCACGAGTCAGCATACGCTCATCCTGGGTTCTTTGCGACCTTTGTGGTGAAATGTGTTAACACCACAGGGACACTTAACATAAAAGTGGTTATTATGACAGGTGGCTATCTCTCAAATGTTTCCACAGTACTCTATGCAGTTCTGTGGAAAAACTACATACACCCTATGTTTTTGTACATTGTAGAAAAACATTTGGCAGCAATAACTTGAAGTAATTGTTTGTTTGTTTTTCTAGTTAATTTATTAGACTCTCATGTTGTTGCAAAGGAATTTTGGCATACTCTTATTTACAGCGTTGGTTCAGTTCATTGATGTTTGTTGGCATTCATTTATGCACAGTTCTTCTAAGATCCTGCCACAACGTTTCAGTCATGTTGACGTCTGGACTTTGAGTGGGCCGTTGCAGCACCATGGTAGTTTTGTTTTTCAGTCATTCTGTGAAAGCTTTGCTGCTGTTGAATGGGATCATTGTTCTTTTCGTTTGCCAAACTTTAGCTGTCAGCACAATGGCTTCTATTTGACTCTAGAACACTTTGATAAAGAGGAGTTCAGGATGAACTCAAAGACTGTAAGGTGTCAAGCTCCTGTAGTATAAAAAAAACCCAAATCATCACCCTTCTACCACTGTACTCGGCAGTTGCAATGAAGTATTTGTGCTGATATGCTGTGTTTGATTTGGTGTTGTACTTTATGACCAAACCTTTCCAATTTGGTCCCTCTGTCCAAAGAATTTGGTTGCGGACTATTCAGATGGAGCTTTGCAAACCTTTGCTGCCAAGTTATTGCTAGAGAGAATAGACTTTCTATACTTGTTCTTGTTCTTGTTCAGCTTTTTCCAAATTGCTCTGTCATAAACTTTAATATTTAACACGCTAACTGAGGCCAGTTGACTCTGAGATGCAGCTCTTGGGTTTTTTGCAGTTCCTCTAAACATGAATTTCTCTGGGGGAATTTCTGGGGCATCCATCCACTCCAGGGAAGATTTTGGCATTGTGTTAACACACATCTAACTGCTCCAGACTGCATTCAGGTTCTTATGCTTTTATACAAATGCTCACACTTGATGATGATCATTTAATCAGGTGCAGCACCTGGCTGCTACTTATTCCTTTTGGAAACAGTAAATATGCACTTCATTTTTCTCATGGCTGTATCATTTGATTAAGCTGATGGTCCCATCCTTCTGGGATGAAATCATGCACTCCTTTTTTTTATAGACAACCAATCAAACCAATGATTTTTACATTATGAAGTCAGCATTTATGACATACTTTGTGATGATACGTAAAAGCAAAATATTGCAAGGAAAATATCTGAATACTTCTTTCACTGCTGTGGGCAGGAATGAACTCACATCCAGGAGAAGCATTGACTGATCTAATATTTGGCATCAGATATCAAGTCATTCACTGTACTGATACCTGGTATTCAATTAGGAGCCAATATCAGCTAATTGTTATTAATTTCATCCTCTAGACTTGGAAATATGACAAGATGAGGTACCCATTTGGAGTTTTATTAAACTGACAATATGAATGATTTATATCAGTTAATTTAAAAAGTGACGTTTAAGAGATAAAACGTTAATTAGTTAATCTAATGTAATAAGTAGGTACAATTTGGGATTTAACTTTTTATCAGCTTATCTCTGACGTGAATGTGCCCTGGTCCTTTGTACAGAATGTACACTGTCTGTTTGACAAGATGTACGTTTCATGAAGTTTTTTTTTTTTCAATTTTGCTCTGCAGAGCTCCTGTTAATGATGTCATTGATGGCGTGGGGGGAGTCATTTGACCGTCTTCTGGAGTGTAAAAGTAAGGCCACTTACTCCTCTCATTGTCCTGTCAAAGGCTGCTCTCTCTCAATTCCTCATCCTCTCTCTCTGTCTTTTTTCTTTTCTACCTTCTCAATTCTGCACCGCTCGGCCCTGCAAATCTTGGTGAATTGCCCTCGGGACTTCTTTAGGAGGATCGAGGATATATTCTCCTCTCAAGTTCATCAAACCCATTTGGAAGATATATTTAAGGAGGACGACACTGGCCGAGATAAGAAGCGTAATCTGAGCTGCCGGTGTAGATAGGATGATTTCAACCAACTCTTATTCATTTATAAAGCCGGCACCCGCTCGCGGCTATCACCTGACCACACTCCTGCCCTTTTTTTGAAAATGACAGAGGTGGCAGATAAGTTCTTTCTTTTTCTCACTCTTTACGCTGCCTTTCGTCTCTCATCACTCCACTGAAATGAACTCAGCCCATCTGTAATATTTTAGCCTGTTGTCTTCGGCATCAAGATTGACTGCCCTCCAGAGTATAAATTTCATCTCGCATTCCATTTGCTCCATTTCCCTTTGAAGGACTGCAATGACACGTTTGATAAACAGGTAAACAGGGGCAGAAAAAAAAGGAAAAGAAAAAAAATCTAATGCCATTCATATACCTTTACGTCTCATGCGAATTTAACTCAGCTCTGTTGTGATTGAAAGTTCAGATATGGAGTGATTTGTAGACGGGAACAAGCGGCCTCTGGATGTGTTTTGTTTCCTGTCAATTACTGTCAGAGCGCCAGCTGTGATTTATGTAAAGCGATTTCTGTGAATAACACCGGTGCTCGCAGTTAGCTGCTTGTTTGTGCTCCCCTAAGACGAGCTGAGTATTTAACACCTGCGTTGGCATCAGAGCTCCATGAATACGCCCATAACAAAGGTAAGGAGTGTGGGGAGCAGATAACAAGAAATATTGGTGTGTGCAATTATATGATGCAGAAGCAGAGCACGCGGGGTTCGGTTTTTGAAGGTTTTGAAGTTAAAAGGGCCTCCAGACATGCACCACAATGCCTGGCAGTTTTCTGCATCGTCTCTTTGTTCACTGCCTTCTTTGAGCTTACGAGCACTGTTAGGAGGAAAGGAGAATGTGAGAGAAAGATACAGAATTGCTTAACCTTCAGAGGAGGCTTGTTGCTCTCATGAAATTTACCTAAAATACTTTATAAATTTGAAAGTGAATGATTCGTTTAAATTTGCTTTCACCCAATATTTTGTCCCTGTCGTCAGAAAAACTTGTTCCTGATTCAAGAGCTTACAGCAGTTTACAGTGAACAAAAGAGGCCTCTTTTGAAGAGCACAGGGTAGAAGTTTCTGGTGACAGACAGTGAAATTGAAATAGCAGAAAAGTCCAAATGAGCTGCTGTTTCCTGTAGATTAGATATGTGAATCCTTCAAATCAGTGTAAAAAGTTATTTTCAAGTTTACGTCCATGCTACCATCTTGGATCTTTCACCGATACCGGTGCCAAACCGCTACTTTTGAAACGGTGCCGGTGCTTAAACGGTGCTCAAACCGGTGCTTAAAAAATGGAGAACACAAAATTGGTCCAAAAACCTCTCATGTTCAGCTGTGTTTGCTAGTTCACCTTACATGCGTTAATTTAATAACGTGGTTAGCGTACTCAACGTAAACTACACACAAACAACATTAAGCTACTCACGCAGAGAAGCTGCTGCTGCTGCCCTCATCATCCGTCATCATTTCTGCTACACTGGCAGGGCTAGGGGCCAGGACTCTACTCTTCGGGTTTTTGGGGGATGTTGCAAATTCTGGGTCCGATAACAGGCACCACACCTGCAGTAGATGTGCTCGGTGTGAGGTCTCGCAGCAAGCTATCAAATACGGCGCATTTCTCAGCTTTTAAAAAAAAAGCTATGCGTCGCCAGCTGTTTCATCGGATTTGAGGTGTTACCTCCTTTGACAGTATCACAGTATCAGCTTAAAGCACTTGTTGCTGCTGAGTTTGCATATTTTGCTGTGAAGTACAACCAGACTTTTGACCGCTTCGCCTTGGACATTTTTAATCTGTAGCTCTGCTCTAAAAGAACGTACATACCTGGACCCGCCTACTATCCTCGGAAACGTAAAATGATTGGCTAGAATCTAAAGTGTATCCCAGCTCCGGAACCGAAATAAAGCACCGAAATGTGCGCTGCTTTTCGGTCTGGTTACTACCGTTTATGTCAGAACCGGTGCCATCACGGCACCAGATACCGGTACCCATCCCTACTCAGTACAGAGAGCAATTGTCATCAATGACATGACACTGATGAAGTCAAAAATAAAGTTAATAGCGTGAAATAGATGAGCTGGGGTTTAGGTGGGTTGCAAAGTAGCTTACAGATGCAGCGTGATTAGGAAGGCTGCCAAAAGTAATGTAATGTTCAACAAGATCATTTTTAATTTAACTATTCAACAAGCTGATTTTTTTTCTATCTTGTACCTTGCCATATGTGGTTAAGGTTTAAAAATGATCCTATTTTGGCTCCGTCAGGTCTCATGGCATTTTGTGAAACAGTCATAAAAAATCTTTAAAAAATAAATATTTTGTGGTCTTTGTGGGCATGAATTATTACGCTTTTCCTGTCTCTGAACAACATGTATTTGTAGTGATGCATTTCAAATTTGTGTCACCATGGTAACTAAGAAAACAGCATCTGGCAGCAGCTGTATTTGAACCCAAACCATGATAACAGTGACATACTGTATTTGTAGTGAACAATGTATTTATCAATCAAATGATATTT